GGCGTCGATGTGGCTGGCGCAGGGCAAACGCCACGGCGTGCTACGCCGGCAGCTGGCCGCCAAGGACCGGGCGTGCGCCCGGCTGTGGAGGTCTCAGGGGCAACGCTAGGGGGGTGGGACAGACTGGATCGCTGGCGGCGAGCACGAGGCGGTGGCGCGACGCGAGGGCGCGGGGCCTTCTAAGAAGGCGTGGCATTTCTCGGAAAGCTGGGACCTTCTTAGAAGGGCCTGGAGACTTCTGAGAGGGCGCGGGGCCTTCTAAGAAGGCGTGGCATTTCTCGGAAAGCTGGGACCTTCTTAGAAGGGCCTGGAGACTTCTGAGAGGGCGTCTGAGAGGCTGGGGGGGGCTTCTAAGAAGGCCCCAGCCTTCTAAGAAGCACCCCGCCTTCTGAGAAAACCCCCATCCTGGCGCCAACCCCTTGTGCGCTCCGCCAAGATGGGGTCAGGGGGGAACACACCGGCACCCCGATCGCCCATTCGTCGACAGGGGGCCTGATAGCCCACCTCGCACAAGGGTGTGCGAATTCGCCATCGGGAAGCTATCGGCGATGCATCGCCGATTCCAAGTCGATGCTTCCCCCCCTGAGCTGGTCCCTCCCGAGCGTTACCCCCCGAGGCGTCTGGAGCGCGGCCCCCCTCCGAGGATCGGGCGCTGCTGGAAGTGGCCCCTGGCCCAAAGGTGGTCCCAGACATGCTCTCACCCGTGGACCAAAAAACATCACGAGCACGCCGGGCCCCAAGACCATCAAAAAACGGTTCGGGATGAGAAAGGGGCCATGGGGAAAAGGTCGGGATTTCCAGGGACCCCGCTTTAAAGGCATCGGACGTCTGTGCTCCCGGCTCCTCGCGCCGTTTTGGGCTCTCTGGGCCTCGTGAGGGGTGCTCCGGGAGCCGTCTGCGCCTCCCTGGGCAAGCTTTCGCTCGTCCTCCTCCTCCTCCTCCTCCTCCTCCTCCTCCTCCTCCTCCTCCTCCTCCTCCTCCTCCTCCTCCTCCCCATTCGTCCTCCTCTCTTCTCCCCTCCTCCTCGTCATCATTTCCTTTCTCCCTCTTTCTCCTTCTCTTTCTCTCCTCCTCCTGCTATTCCTCCTTTCCTCCTCCCTCTCCTCATCCTCATCGCCTCATCTTCATCCGTTTTTTCCTCCTCCTATCCTCCTCCTCCTCCTCCTCCTCCTCTTTATCCTTATATTTCTCCTTCTCATTATCCTCCTGCTCATCCTTCTCCTCCTCCTTCTCCTCCTCATCCTCCTCGTCCTTCTCTTCCTCATCCTCCTCCTTCTTTTCCTCCCCCTTATCCTTCTCTTTATCTTCCTCTTTCTCCTCCTCATCATCATCCTCATCCTCCTCCTTCTTCTCATCCTCCTTCTCCTCCTCATCCCCCTCCTACTCCTTCTCATCCTCCTCCTTCTCCCCCTCCTCTTTGCCCTTCTATGTGTCGTTATCCTCCGTATCCTCCTCCTCCTCCTCCTCCTCCTTCCTCTTCCTCCTCCTCCTCCTTCCTCCTCCCTCCTCTTTCTCCTCCTCTTTTTTCTCCTCCTCCTCCTCCTCCTTCCTCCCCTCCTCCTCCTCCTCATCCTCATCATCCTCATCCTCATCCTCATCTCCTTCTCCTCCTCCTCCTCCTTCTCCTCCTCCTCATCCTCCTCCTCCGTCTCCTCCTCCGTCTCCTCCTCCGTCTCCTCCGTCTTCTCCGTCTCTTCCGTCTCCTCCTCTTCCTCCTTCTTCTCCTCCGCCTCCTCTTCCGTCTCCGTCTCCTCCTCCTCCGTCTCCTCCTTCTCCGTCTCCTCCGCTTCCTCCGTCTCCTCCGTCTCCTCCGTTTCCGCCTTCTCCTCCGTCTCTTCCCTCTTCGTTTCCTCCTCCTCCTCCTCCTCCTCCAACTCTTCCTCCTCATCCTCCTCATCCTCCTCTTCCTCCTCCACAATTACACAATATGAAAATACTCTCCCACTTCCCCTGATGGCGTCCCGAAGATATCCGACCCCCCCCGCGTACTGTTTTTTTACACACAGGATTCCCGGGAAACGGGTTTTCGCCTGCGCCTGCGTTTTTTTCAAAATGCTGCTCTCGCTGAGGCGCCGGCCTCATTTCTGCTCCCGAATCGTTCCGAATCGTGCTCCCGCTGCAGCGTGGGCCTCATTTTCGGATCGGTGTTTGGCCTCCGTCGTTCAGGATGGCGTTCTCGCCCCAGCGCGGGCCTCTTTCTCGCGCGCCCATCCGCCCGCCACCACCACCAGCGCCGCACCACACCCACCACCACCATCCACCACCACACCACACCACCACCACCACCACCACACCACCACCCCACCACCACCACCAGACCACCACCACACCACAACCACGCACACACGCACGCACGCACGCGCACCACCACCCACTACGCACGCGCGCGCGGAGCCACAGGTCCGCTACGACACGCGTCCGCGGATAGAGAAAATCAGCGCCATGGTAAGGGATGGGAGGGAGGGGTAGGACGTCAGATATGACGCGAGCGCACTAGCTTGTCCTCCTCCTCCTCCTCCTCCTCCTCTCCTCCTCCTCTCTCCTCCTCCTCCCTCCTCCTTCTCCTCCTTCGTTTCCTCCTCCTCCTCGTCCTCCTCATCCTCCTCCTCCTCCTCCTCCTCCTCCTCCTCCTCCTCCTCCGTCTCCTCCTGGTCCTCTTCCTCCTTCTCCTCTTCCGTCTCCTCCGTTTCCTCTTCCTCCTCCTCCGTCTCCTCCTCCTCCTCTTCCGTCTCCTTGTCATATTCCTCCTCATTATTATATTTTTTCTCCCCTTTCTCCGCCTCATCTTCCCCCTCCTCCTCGCCCTCCGCCTCCTCCTGCTCATCATCCTCATCATCATCAGCATCATCCTCGTCCTCCTCCTCCTCCTCCTCATCATCATCCTCCTCCTCCGTCTCATCCGTCTTTTCCATATCATCCGTCCCCGCCGTTTCTTCCATCTTCTCCGTCTCCTCCGTCTCCTTTTCCTCCTCCGCCTCTTCCCTCTTAGTTTCCTCCTCCTTCTCCTCCTCTTCCTCCTACTACTACTCCTCCTCCTCCTCCTCCTCCGCCTCATCCTCCTCCTCCTCCGCCTCCTCCTTGTTCCTCCCCTTCCGTAGCCATTTCGGTTCAAGTGGCAAGACCGAAAGATACACACAAGTGTAGGGAAATACATACCCCCATAACCACAAACAGTGCTCAGAGTGACGACGCTGCCCGCAAGACGAGGCTCTTGAGAGGCCAACAAAGCCTTGTGGGGGCTCAAAAACCAAGGCAAAGTGATTCGCCATGGCTGGGCAACGTTGGGACGGATTTTCAATTTTCGCGTTATCATATAATGTTCGGTAATATATCAAGTGCATGTCAGCGGACCCCAAGGGTTCCCATCCTCCTCCTGCCCCTTCCGCTTCTCCAACCGCAGTCAATACCATCATCATCATTACCGTGGCTACTGAATTATTGGGCAGTCTGAAGCACCACTGGAGTCCCCCCAAAGGGTTTCGCGGATCAAACCTCCGCCCTCAGCACAGCACTTGGACATTGGCCTCGAGGGGGCCCCTGCGGTACATTGCCAGAATCCCCGCATCTCGCTGCTTTTGGGGCTGCGGCGGACATACGTTATTGGGCCACGTTCGTGTCATGCCAGCTGTTCTAGGGCATCCAACACAACATCAAACATCGCAGCCATTTTGGCTCATGTCGACATCTTTATGGACTTCGATCACGAGTCCGTGCCAGGGTCTCCAGCTGAGGCCCCATTCGCGGACATCGATGGCGATGTGCTGATCGGCCGTGAAGGCCACCTCACTGGGCCTTGCAACGCTTCGTGGGAGTCGAGGGTTGGCGATTGGTGGGTCATAGGCATGGTTTGGCAGCCGTGGTGAAACTCTGATGCGAGTTTGGTCGTCCCTGGTCCAGGGGGCAGGGGATATCAGATGTCATTGGAAACTGTTGAGGTGGGGACGGGGGCACTTGGGGGTGGATGGCGAGGAGGCTACGGAGGACAGGGGGAAGGAGGACGGCGACGTCGACGAGCATGTGGGGTGGAACGCCATCCAGGAGGGCCCCTTGAGGGCCAACGGGGTTTTCAGTTTTCAGGACGGTTTGCGGGAACACTACGGTTAGATGTTCGACGCCACCTGCCAACCCGTGCCGACGCCCGCCACTCTCCCACCCCCGAGGCGTTGAGGCTTCCCGCAAGCGCGGGCGCAGACCACGAGAGCACACGGACCACGGTGACATGTTCTTGGCGATTGTATGTTCAGTTGCGGGTTTCTCAGGCTTCAGGCTCACCGACGCACGAGGTACCATACAGTCACTCCAGGTGGAGTCGATCGCGTTGGCCAGATGGGAAGCTCTTTCGTGTGACATGATAAACGAGCTTGACAGAGATGCGCTCGAGATGCTTCACCATGCAACCACAAAATGCAAATCAAACGTTTACGGTTGCATTGGTTACAATATTATTGATTGCCAGCGATTGATCAGGTCTGTCATTGTGCCGCCGATGGTTTGGAATGTGTGGAACTACATCGCAGCATGCGAGACCTATGCCAACACCGATCGACTGCATATTGTGACATGTGCGGAACAAGCAAAGGAGTGGGCTCGCCTGTCACTCGACGCGGATGTATCATTAATGGCGAAGCTCCCTGTATTTACATCGTTTGAGTTTGCTCGGCGACTCTCATCGCAGTGGCCAGCATTGAAACTGATACCATTGACAGACAACTACAGGCCTTCAAAACACTTGTTGAAAGTTGGCCCGACACTGCAGGAATACAAATTCTGGAGAGAGAAGTACAAGTCCGAGTGTCCACACCCGATCGCGGCTGGGAGCCGCGGGTCTTCCTTCAGCAAGGTGGTGCGACACAACCTGCCTGACAAGTTTGCCACGTATCCTGCGGTGGTCGTCATTGACTTTCTGGACGCGTCACGGTACCTCAAGTCCTTGGATGGCGTTCATGCTGCAAAGAAAGCGTTTGCAAAAGTGTTGGCCAAGCACAGTGCCACTGCAGGAGCGGAGCTGTCAGCTCAGTCGTTCAGCATTGGGCGAGAAATCCTCCGCGTCGGACGCGTTAGATTCGACATTGCCTGCATGGTCCTCATGAGATTGTGGTTTGAGCTGAACCTTCGCGACACGGCAATCTACATGTTCACAGACGGTTCCCCTCAGTGGCGAGGCGTTGAGATGATGGGGACATCCATGGACTGTATCAAGTCGACGTCGACATCGTGGTGGCACCGCAGGTTTCTTTTGCCGATCGTTCAGATCGGGAACGGTCAATTGACTCTGGAGGGGAAGACGTACGCGGTGCTGTGGAAAATCATGCTGATGGTCGGACAGAGCTACGTGGCGATGCGAACATTTCTATCTAAGGTGGTCTCGATCACAAGTGATCTTGGTACCGAGCGGCTGCTGGCCGCATCGCCAGACATCCTCGTGGACTTTTGCATGCACGTTGGGATTCCTTTACCTCGCCACGTGGTTCGTGGACCCAGATTGTTTCCTGTTGCACTACTGTCACCTGGATGGATGCATATATTGGACACTGTCCTGAGGCGAGGTCTTTCGAGCCTTCCATTTTTCCCAGCGTGGTTGACGGGGGTCAAGGCTGTGATCAACTTCTTGCGCGCTTACGGGGATGACATCACAAAGGCCATCAAGAG